CGCTGACCGAAAATGAGGTTTTTGATTGTAACGCGGACTAAATTATAATGTATTGAAAAATAGTGTGCGGATGACGCCATTTGGCGTCATCCGCAGTGAACGTGTTAATTATAATAAAAACATAGTACAGTAAAAATATAAATAGGTACATTGTGCACTTTAAAAAATATTTACCTGCATTTTTCCTTGGAATTTCAATAGTTTTGTTAGCGTTATCAAGTGTTTCAAATTCATTCATTTCAACTAAAATATATAATAAAATATATAACATTGTATAACATTGTATAACATTGTATAAAAACAAAATAAAAATTGATTAATTAACTATACAATTTTTTATATTTACCCAAATCTTCAGTAGTTTTGTTGGTGTTATCTAATGTTTCAGGTTCATACATTTCAGCTAAAAATTATAATAAAATATGTAACATTGTATAAAAACAAAATAAAAATTGATTAATTAACTATAAAATTATTTATATTTACCCAAACTTTCAATAGTTTTGTTGGTGTTATCTAGTATTTCAGGTCCATGCATTTTAACTAAAAATTTTAATAAAATATATAATATTGTATAAAAACAAAATAAAAGTTGATTAATAAACTATAAAATTATTAATATTTTCCTATTTGTGTAATTATAAAACATAWGGTATGGTAGTATGAAATAAAATTACATATTTATAAATTATAAATTACTGCACTTACTGTGTCCATGTATTAAAAAAGGATTATTTAAACTAAACATATTTATACATTTTGAAATGTACAGCTAAATATTGTCAATTTTCTATAAATCTCATGTTAATTATTCTGTGGGCTAATTATCCAAAAAATTAATATTTGTAATTTAAAAACTAAATGGTGAGTATCAGAGCGCCTAACCTAATAAATCCGCCTTGATTAATAATAAATCATACAACACCTATATATTATATTATACTTTAATAATATCAATAATATTAATTTATTTTAGAGGTAGGTTATTTATATATAATAATAGGTACCTATTATTGTTTAATATACATTTTTATACAAATTACAAATTAATAACAATTTTATAGAATTTATAGAAAAATTACAATATTTATGATAAATTGSAAAATATGAAACAAAAATGTACATAATAACTTAACCATACTATGTACCTATTTATAAATGTATAAAAAAATATTGGAAATTTGCAAAATGGTCTAGGTAGTAGGTACTAATGTTCTATTAACTTATAAATTTCAAACTCTAGACCCAAAAACACATATGTACCAAATCAGATTTATTATATTTAGTTTCTAAAGAAATATACAAATCTATTGCATCTCGAGACCCCTGAAGTTGAGCTCCACAGTTATTACTATTTACTATAGTACATTGTTACGTGATAATGGATAAAAAAAAAATGAATAAAACAATATTCTAAAATATAAATAATAAAGTAATACATACCATTTGATGATGTTGGCTGAGTACAAGCAACAGGAACTTTGAAAAAATTTGATATACTTGAATTTCCTAAGCAAATCTTTTTTTTTTTACAAGATATAACATATCTAGACCAATTAGTCGAATTTAAACTTAATTGTTTTTTACCACATAAACAGGTATCAGACATTTTATGTACGAGTTACGAAAAATCAACCTTTATATATAGCTTTATATAAATATAATAAATATTATTTTGTCAATCGACATAATAAAATACAACAAATTTATAAAATACTATGTCAAATGCTAATAACATAATATAATAATGAGAAAATGGCGACCTATTTTAATTATGAAACTAATATCGATAATAATATTATTGATAAATGATACTTGATAGCTCAGCTATCATAGCTGAATCTATAAATAACTTACTTAATGGTTTTTACTGTTTTTAGTTTATCGTTTTTGTAATAAACATCTACAATCAATTTGGAAATAAACAGTGCTGCCGCTATTTGCATTGTATTACAATAATTACGTAAAACAGATTTTACTGATCAGTTATTAAGTTATAGTAGACWACATACTCGTAAATTATTTGCGAGTATATTGTCTACTCAGGGACCCAATTTTTGAAATTGTGATAAAATTTGTCGCATACGATAAAATCGTTTGTCGCATGAAAAAAAAATAAAGATATTTTTGAAATATGATATAGTTTAGTCGCACAAAAATCATTTGACTATTTGTCTACTGGTGTAATGGTGGTGACAAAGTGTTTATCGCATGAAAATTTAGTATCCATCGATAAAATAGTAAATAACCCATATATCCTTATCAATAATTATTCATTGTATATTTATATTATAATATTATAAATTAATATTATTATTATTCAAAAAATCATAATGTTCGTAAAGACTAATTTATATTAATCAATCAAGTGTTTTAAGTTTTGTGGTTTTTAATATTTTTATATATTAATATATTATTATAAGTAATTTACTGTGAACTATCGAAAATGTCAGATTTTAATATAATGACCCATTTGGTTGTCAACAATTTTGTAGAAAATGTGGTTAATGTAAACGAGAATAATAATGGTGTTAGAAATGATTTTCACAGACCTTTGTCGGACCCATTTACACTGACTGAACAAATGTTCATAAAAAATTTTCGTTTAACCAAACATCTTACACAATATGTGATTGATTTATTAAGACCATTTCTTGAAAAGCCAAGCCGTTTGTCATCAATTGATATTGACACAAAGGTTTTAACATTTTAAATACAATTTTTAATTTAATGATCTATAATGATTTTTGTCTCATGAAAATTATCTATTCTAGGTGCTAGTTGCCTTAAACTTTTTTGCAACAGGCTCATACCAAACACCGGTTGGCAACAGTAGATATACTGTACTGTCACAAGCGTCAGTTTCCTGTTGCATTAAAGAGGTCGTAACAGCACTAAATAATCCCTCTATTTTCAATTCATGGGTCAAATTCCCGCATACTATTTGTGAGCTCAATGCAGTTCGTCATGAGTAAGACATTTATTATTTAATACTTTTTTAAACTAAAGGAACTTGTAGAAATTACTTGTATGGAATAATTTAGTTATATCACATTATTTTGTTAAAAATGTATTTACTTTCCCCCTTTTTAGGTTTTATCTTAAAACTGGATTTCCAGGCGTGATTGTATGTTTGGATTGTACCCATGTTGCTATAGTGCCCCCTTCAAAAAATCTTAACCTTGAGGAAAACAAGTACCCTGAGTACATGTATGTGAACCGGAAAAATTATCACTCGATAAACGTTCAGCTAGTAAGAATTAATAACATTTTACATTTTTTTTCTTGCATACTTCCCCACACTCAGAGAAAATTATCCATTTATTAATGAAAAACTGTTTAAATTAAGTTTGAAATGAAAAAAGTTAATGGATAGAAGTTTATAATTATATTTACTTGGTTTTTAAGAAATTTTTAATTATATAAGTACATATAAATTGCAAAACAATAAATCATTAAAACTTAACCTATATTTTTTTTCTGAGTGCAAGAAGTAAGAATACCTAAATATTATAATGTAATAATACATACCTATGGATTATTTTATTTGTATTTAGATATGTGACTCAAATCTAAAAATTTTAAATGTTAATGCATTATTCCCCGGTAGTACACATGATGCACATGTTTGGAATAATAGTAATGTTTCAAAMACTCTTCAGGAATTACATTTCAGAAACTTTAACAACTTCTTTTTATTAGGTAAATATTAATGTATGTTTTTACCAGATAAATAAATTTTAAATTATAATTTTGATACCTTTGTAGGAGATTCTGGTTATCCGCTACGGCCTTGGTTACTCACACCAGTCAGACCTATAACACACCCCACTACTGCAGCTGAGGAACTTTATAATAATAAACAAATGTCCACAAGGAGCATTATAGAACGATGCAATGGTGTACTCAAAATGCGTTTTAGGTACTCATTTATTTTATTCAAAATTAATTTATTTAGTCATTCCTTCGTTCTCAATTAAATATAATTTTAGGTGTCTCTTCAAGGATAGGGTATTACCATGAAGAATAAAGATAAGGAGCTCGCACTCCCGTTGACGTGCGTAAATGAAACACACTCGTTTCCATCCGCACGAAATAAGGTGTGTGATTTCGCCACTAGGTCGCAGGTCGTTCGATGTTTATACTAATTGAGGGGCTTCAATGCAAAACGTACCTTTTCCTTATTTCTTATTTTTCAGTGGAGCCAGTTTTCTGTTAAGGATATTTTTAATTGGTGTAGACCATATCTGAAGATTTTAAAAAAATCTTAAAAATATTCTTATTCTGTTTTTAAATGTATTCCTGTTCAATTTAATTTCTTAATTGCTTTTTTTAAAGGTTCAAAAAAGTCATATTCTGCAAAACGGACCTTTTCCGGAATAAGTATGTTTTGCATTAAATTTGGAAAAAGTACGTTTTGGAAAATTTTTTCWAAATTTTTTTCAAAACATACTATTTCCGGAAAAAGTCCATTTTGAATAAAATTGTTGGATAGGACAAAATATAAGATATAATATTTTTATGTATGATGTGTTTTTATTAATTAATATTAAATAATCATGATTAATAATAAACAAATATTAACAATTAAAATGAAACTTTTGTCCTTTTAATGCAAAGCTATATATTATAAATTATTACATACACATTTCCTTCTGAGTATTTGTAATAATAACAACTGAATTACCTAAATATATTAAACAAAATAATTATTTTAAATTTTAAAGTAACAACTTTATCTACCTTTATTATAAACTAATGAAGCAAAAGAACATTAGGAACTTACATGTTACTTACACTTATATCACTTGGTATTTATTAAATCTATAAGAAATTCTTTTGTAAATTATGAACAAAAAGTGACTAGGTATTTTTATTAATATTTATTTTATCTATGCATCTTCATCATATACTTGACAATCCTCTATTGAATTAATACTGCTAGTATTTTCAGTAAAAATATCCTCATAAAAGTCTTGAGCATCAGGTGGCACTGTGAAGAATTTTAATAAACGTCTCACGTCTTCCTGTTTTGGTTGTTTAACGTGATTTGTCTTGGGTAATTTTTCAGCTGAACCAATACTTTCCAAATTGGCTTGCTTTTTAAGTACATTTATTCGTATTGGTTCCTCTTCATATGATGAACTTACTCCAACAGTCTTTTTACCTCGAATGTACGAATAATGTTTTTGTTCCGTACTTTTAAAATYAATTTTTTTAACAATTTTTTTTACGGCAGTTTTAAAGTCCATGATGGCATAATCCTTATCAAATGTTCTTACTGTAGTGTATTCTTTAAACACTTTATAATATTCATTTGGTGATAAAATGGTTTCCATTTGTCTCAACTTCTTTTCAATTCGACCAAATACCTGATCAGGCGGCATATAACTGTGTCCACGCACGGGAAAGTAATGATGTATTTCGTTGATCACCTTTGCCTTATGGTTTATAAAATAAAGTAGTGCAGTCATAACAAATTGATTCTTGTTCTGAGCTGAACAAGAATCGGAGAATAGGTTAACAACAGTCATAGGTTTGTCTTGGGTTTGAAGTCGGTTATCAATCATTTCTAAAAAGTTTAGGAGTGCAGAAGCAACTTCATTTGGGCCTCTCCCACTTTCTGTCTCGAGCCAAGTATATGTAAAACAATTTTCAGGATTTTGAAGTTCGGAGTTAAGTACAAAAGTTAAGTTGTACAACCAAATTTGACGACTATAAAATGTCTCTGTAATGCTGAGTTTTGGTAGTGGTTGATTTTGCATCATATCAAAAGAAATATTTATTGAGTTTTCAGTCGTTTTTTTCATCAAGCTATGAAATTTTTTACTGATGTATTTATGAGCACTAAGGTTTTCCTGTAATTCAATTTTAATTATTTCATTAACCTCGTTTTTTAATTTGTCTTCTAGACCAGCACAATAACCACACACATCTTGTCGGGGATGTCCAAACCCCAGATTAAATTTTGTGGTAAATATTAAGTAATACTTACTAAATGAAGCAAACTTTTGATTAGTTTTAACCATCTCATTTTTCCAATGTTTATACATTAACTTTATAGTTATTCCCGGTGGAAGATAAGAACGTCCTGTGTCTGTTCTCGAATAGTGACTTTTCTTAGCTTTGAAATTTTGGATATGATCAATAATTGAATTTTTGATTTTTTCATCATCCAAACTCAATCGACTTCCTCCACGATTTTCTTTAGGACTACCTAAGCTATTATTTTTCATATAGTTTTTCGAAATAATGTTTAAACGCTTTCTTGAGATTGATGTGATTGACCTAAACACTGTAGAACATACAGGTATTTTTCCTTGAAGAGTAGGTAAAAAATATTTTACTACATTTCTATCTGTTCGATGTTGGGTTTTTCGACGATCAGTTCTTACAGGTTTGACTATTGACATTGCCGAAATTAAAAATTTATCTTGATCAATTTTGGTTTCTAAGATACTTAAATTATTTTTAAAATTTTGAACACAGTTATAATTTATTTCAGAAATCCTACAGATAGGCTTGCTCATATTTTTGTGACTACACTCAATAATAACATTAGATGAGATTTTATTTCTTTCAATTTTTTTTTCATTCCTTTTATTTGGCTWTTTTAGTTTTCTTCCTCCATCAATAACTTCAATACACTCTGTATATTCAGGATTATTTAATAAAATCTCAACTGGATTTTGATTGATTATATTTGAATGTATTTCTTCAGATTGAAGAGGCAAAGTTTCTTCATAAACAAATTCCATACAATTCAAATCTACCATATCAAAACCCTAAAATTATCAAACCTAATGTCAATAATACCAAGAAAAACCAAACAATATTTCAATAAATTAGTCATWATTTTATTTTAACAACATTAATAATATTAACTAATTATTTATCTTGTTTATTGTTAGGAACATTAATATTAATATTTACTTTAAAAATTGTTTATCAAAATACAATRCTAAATTAAATATAAACACAAGTGTTACACATGAATATAATATAACAACAAATAATAAATTATTATTGAAACTTACATATTTTTTTGTACTATCAATTTTTGAAGTGGATGGCTCCTCAGTATTAACCATTAATTCATTACACTGCAGCCAATTTATTACCTTATCCTTAAATATATTTAAATATATAATCTTAATATGAAAATAAAAAATAAAATTTTTGAGTATGTGTCATAGTTTTAATACACTGTAACTTTTGTTTAAAGGAATAAAAATTGTTTAGTAATACACAATTCACTAAACATTTTGAAACTTACATTTTGTGGCTTGTTTAGCACAGTATCATCTATTTCAATGCAGTTTAAATTAGAAGATTTTGGCCTATTTTCTGATTTATCCTACAATAACAAAATAATATTTGAAAATAAAAATACCAAAGTGTACTAGGGAACTTTTAACTTAGTAACATTGGAAGAATCAATTATTACAACTACCTAAGTAGGTATCTACTCACTTTTTTGTGATGTCTTACATTTCCAACAAACAACTGTTTTGGCCTAAACTCCTAAAATTGTAAACAAAGTAACTGGTGTAATAGTGAATATTGTATTTTATGAACATACTAAAGTAAATACCTAGTATATACCTACCTATTTTAAAACTTAAAATGTTTATTTAATTTATACTTACTGGTGTTGCTGCTGCTGCTTCCAGCATTCGTTTGGCCCTATTCATACTAAAAATTACTATTATATTAAATATATTTAATTGAATTTATTTAATATACTCTACGTTTAAATATTAATAGTAACATAAACAAAATCTTATTATATAAAATATAACTAATTTATAAAACATGAGCACGATGATTGCAGATTGATTAGATTTTGGAGGGATTTGGTATCATAGAATCTATATTGTACAATATCTCACATAGTACTGATGTTAGAAACGAGATTAGCACATTTTATGAAAATTTAAATTACATAGAATTTTAAATAAACACTTGGCATAAATATAATTTGGAATTAATTTATGTAAACTTTTATTAAAAATGTACTATCTCAAAATTATAATTAAAAAAAATATTAAGTACGTTTTGGATAAAAACTATTTAATCATTCATACCAAATGTATAGGAAAAAGAGCGTTTTGCTTGATAATGGAAATAGACCTTTTTGAAAAATAATGAAGGAAATAGTACGTTTTGCAGAAGTTACTATGTAAGGTATATTTTTAACATTGGAAAAGGTCCATTTTGAAGCAAAATGGAARAAGAACGTTTTGCATTGAAAGTTACTTTGGAAAAGGAACGTTTTGCAGAAAACATAGTTTTKGAATCAACGTTTTCTTAAGGAAATAGTGCTTTTTGGGTTAAAATAATGGTACCAGTCGATTCCCCATACAATTAACGATAAGAATCAATGGGTATATTTCTACTTTACCGGACACCTTTTTTTTTGCGATTTTTGTAATTGAAATATATGTAAGTAAGTACGCTGAAAACRATGGTGAAGTCAGAATTTGGGGCTCGGACTTAGTTTCGAAGTTATCGGCGAATGAAGTTCG